TTCGTCGGGCCGGGCAAGACCCACTTCCGGCTCCGTGTCACGGACATCGGCAAGACGTTCAGCCAGGGACAGGTGGGCCCGGACTCGGCCCAGAACCGGGACTCGCATCGCGGCACGCGACCGTTCCTTATCCACGCGGCCACACTCGACGCCATCTTCCAGTGCTGGGTTGGTGCCACATACCGCGGTGGCGTGCTGGGCCTGAAGCCGTTCGCGCCTACGCGTCTCGGCGCGATGGAGATCCGGATGGACGTGCCTGGAGCACCGGACGACATCATGGCCGGCTTCAGCACCAACAAGCGCCACGGCTTCCATGAGCAGACCAACGACATGTTCCTGTTCGACCCGAAGCTCGACAAGATGTACATCGCGATTGAAGACTTCCGCATTTCGGAGCTCGACGTTGCCGGCGGCCAGGATGAGCAAGACGGCAGCCCTGACACCGTTCTCGACAGGCCCGGCGCATCCGTCACGGCCGAAGTACGATGGGATTACACCATGAGTCTGCTGGAGGAGTCTGACGTCGCAAAGGCCGTCGCAGCACCCCAGACTCAGCCTGGAGAGGGCATGGCCAGGCTGATCACCATGCTGCTCCACGAGAAGCCTTCAGCTGCGGTGATCGAACTGGTGCAGGACCGCAAGGCTCTTGTCGAGGGCCAGTCCATCGTGAACGGCGTCGTTAGCCAATCGCTGCCGAATGGCGCAGTGCCCCCCTCCAACATTCGCTACGCGCTGGCGCAGGGTGACGGTGTCACCGAGACCGAAGCCGCTGCTACACTGTTCGGTGAGGCACTGCCGCTAGAACAGGCCATCCAGGACGCTGCGTCTGCCGATATCTTGGTCATTTCGCCGCCTCTCTCCCAGACCTTGGTGGGTGATGACAATACCCTCTTGGATTCTTTTGTCGGTCTGGCCAAGGCGGATGCTACCCTCGTCCTCTCCTCGAATAGTCGTCAGGCTCTCGCAGCAAACACACTATTCCTCCAGTCCAAGGGTTGGCGAGTCGTATCAACACTTTCTACAGGTGATGACAATGCGGTTGTAGCCCTGTTCAGATATAGCCCGGACGCAGAACTGCAGAACGGTGAGACAACATCGGCTCACAACTTCGTCATTGTCCTACCCTCCGAACCATCGCCTGCCACTCAAGACTTCTCCAAGACGCTCGAAGACAAACTGATTTCCCAAGGAGAGACCGTGGTGGTCAAGTTCTGGGATCAAGTCGCTGGTTCTGCATCAGGAGTGAATGACAGCGACTCATCTTCTCCAGCTGTTGTCGTATCTCTGTTGGAGCTCGAGCAGCCCATGCTAGATGATCTTTCTGAGAGTGACTTCCAGGCCCTTCAAAGTCTCATCCTGCAGAGCGAGCGAATCCTCTGGGTAACCGGCGGCGGCGATGACCCGTCCTTCTACGTCGTGGACGGCCTCGCACGAACCGTCGCCAACGAGAAGGCCAGCCTGCGGTTCCAGACACTCCATCTCAGCAGCCCGTCTGCAGCAGGCGGACCGTCGCTCGCCGGCAGGATCCTCGCCAGCGATACTCCCGACAACGAGTTCCGCGAGGTACAAGGTTTGCTGCAGACCTCTCGCGTGTACAAGAGCGCGGCGGGCGAGCGGCGCATCGCCCGCCACCTCAAGGACGCCACACGCATCGTACCCCTGTCGCAAGAAAACTCCCCCGTCCGCCTGGCGATCGGCCGTCCTGGTCTGCTGGACACGCTGCACTTTGTCAAGGACGAGCGGACACTCGAGCCGCTTGCCGACACAGACGTCGAGATCAGCGTGCGCGCCTCCAGTATCAACTTCAAGGATATCATGGGCGCCATGGGCTTGGTCCCGGTGCCGATGCTGGGCTTGGAAGCCAGCGGCATCGTGACCCGGACTGGTGCGGCCGTCAACAATGTCAAGGTTGGCGACCGAGTTGCTGCTCACGCGTACGGAAGCCACGCCACGGTCGTCCGGACACACCACGCCGTCGTCCACAAGCTGCCCGACTCGATCACCTTCGAACAAGGTGCCGCCATCAACCTGGTACACGTCACGGCGTACTACGCTCTTGTACGTCTGGCCAAGCTGCGCAAGGGCCAGTCGGTCCTGATCCACGCCGCAGCCGGCGGTGTCGGACAAGCCGCCATCCAGCTCGCCAAGTACCTGGGCCTGGTCATCTACGTGACCGTCGGTTCCGAGAGCAAGCGGCAGCTCATGCGCGAGCGCTTCGAGATCCCCGAGGAACACATCTTTCATTCCCGCGACCTCAGCTTCGTCAAGGGCGTCCAGCGCGTCACCGGCGGCCGCGGCGTCGACTGCATCCTCAACTCGCTCGCCGACGAGCTGCTTCGCGCCTCGTGGGACTCTGGATGCCTGGCGCCCTTCGGCACCTTTGTCGAGATCGGTCTGCGCGACATCACCAACAACTCACCGCTCGACATGCGGCCCTTTGTCAAGAACGCGACCTTTGCCTTCTGTGACATCCTCAACTACCCTGTTGAGGACCTTGGCAGTGTCCTCGGTGAGGTCTACGGCCTCGTCGAGCAGGGCTTCCTCTCGCCTGCCTATCCGCTCAAGGCATACCGCCCCAGCCAGGTCGAGGAAGTCTTCCGCGTCATGCAGCAGGGCAAGCACACCGGCAAGGCCGTCATCACCTTCAACGCCGAGGATGATACCGAGGGAGCCCCTGTTTTCCAGCGCGCTGCCGATCTGTTCCGTCTCGATCCGGACGTTACCTACCTCCTGGTAGGCGGCATGGGCGGCCTTGGCCGCAGTCTGGCGCGAAACCTCGCCGCCGCGGGCGCTCGCCACATTGCCTTCCTCTCACGCTCTGGTGATGCCTCGGCCTCGGCCCAGACCTTGCTCAATGAGCTGAACACGCGCTGGAATGTCAAGGCCCGCGCATACGCAGCAGACGCAGCCGATGCAGCATCCCTACAAGCAGCCATGGCGGTATGCGAGCGCGAGATGCCGCCAGTCCGCGGCGTCGTTCAACTAGCCATGGTGCTGCGCGACGTCGTTTTCGAGAAGATGCAGCCCGCGCAGTGGACGCAGCCACTCCAACCCAAGGTGGCCGGATCGCGCAACCTGCACGAGTACTTCGGCGCGGACCGCCCCCTCGACTTCTTCGTGCTGTGCTCATCCGTATCCGGTGTCGTCGGTAACCCGGGCCAGGCGGCATACGCGGCTGGAAACACATATCAGGACGCGCTGGCAGCATACCGCCGCAAGCGCGGACTCAAGGCTGTGGCCGTCGACCTGGGCGTCATGCGCGACGTCGGCGTGCTGGCCGAAGGCAACACCGAGAGCGGTGTGCTGGGCCGCTGGGAGGAGGCCGTCGGCATCCCGGAGCCCATCTTCCACGCGCTCATCAAGAGCGTCGTTCATGGCCAGAAGCAGGAGCAGAACTCGGAAGAGGCTGTCCCTGCGCAGGTAGTCACCGGCCTGGGCTCAGCTGACGTCTGGGCGGCCCATCGCCTCCCTCAGCCGTTCTACCTCTCGGACCCGCGCTTCAGCCCCATGGCCATGGCCACATCAACCGCCTCGTCTTCTGATAGCAGCGGCGAGACCGCCGTCACGGTATCGATCGCCTCGCAGCTCGCGGGCGTGTCGTCGATGCAGCAGGCGGCCGAGATCGTGACCGACGCGCTCTCGAAGCGGACAGCTGAGATCCTGCAGATGCCGGCATCCGAGGTAGACCCCGCGCAGCCGCTGTACCGTTACGGCGTCGACTCATTGACTGCCATTGAAGTCCGTAACTGGATCGCGCGAGAGCTCAAGGCGAACATGGCGCTGCTGGAGATCGTGTCGGCCGTGCCCATCCGCGAGTTCGCGGCCAAGATTGCTGAGAAGAGCCAGCTGGTCAAGATTACGGAGTAGAATGAAAAGAATGAAGGATATGAAGTTATATGTGTTTCAAATTAGCGAACTGACCGTGTTTTATGCGTCAGTTGGGTCTGGGAAGGCGTTGGTGGCTCAAATTGCTTTCGTGAAAGCATCGATGGTGTTGTGATTGACGGTGGTGTCGTCGAAAAATGGAGACAGAGTGGTCCAGGGGGGGGATCCATGCGTAAGGGCTGACGACACCTGGCAGCAGCTGGCCTCCAAAAGTCTCGTTATATGTCTGTTGTATTGTCCAACGCATGTTTACTATTGTTCTTGTACACCTTTGCACTCATCCTACTCGTTCTATCCTCAGCTTGAATTGAAGTGAAATCTAATCAAATGCTTTCCTATTTGGAGTACCTAGGTAGTCTCATGTCAGCAAACGAAGTATGAGTTGACATCCGCGTGCGATACAACGGAACCTGCGTCTTCCGATTTGCAATATAAATCAAGCTCGGCATCGGTACGAGTACGAAATTTGGGTGGCATCACATGGTTACCTATCGGCGAGGTCGTAGTCCTCATCGCGACTAATAAAGTGACGTAGTCGCATCGTGCATTGCCGCGGATACGCTCGTATTGCCATCCGTCAATACGATTGACCGGACTCACGGAGACTACACATCACCGTCGAATATCTTCGCCAGCAGCCTGTCCATCTAAAGAGTTTAAAGGATGGACCTCTTCAAGCCCTCCCCGCCCATTCATCTCATCAACAATCCAATATTCGTCTTAAACCTATATCCTTCCCTAACCTGTAGGTATGTCCTCTAACGGCATTTTTATGAAGGCACCGGCAATGGTGCCGCAGTATGTTTCTGCCGGAGTGGGTATCCTGGCAGTCGTAAGTCTTCCTGTCCGCGCTTCCGTCCAACGTGTACGCTCTCTCAACGGTTCCGCAACGTCTTCTAGTTGATCTTATGGTTCTCTCTCAATGCCGCCTACAACATCTGGTTTCATCCACTCAGCAAATATCCGGGGCCGCGGTGGCAAGCGGCAAGCCGCCTTCCATACACGATTCAGATCTTCAGAGGAACAGCCACGCGAAATACAGCGCGTCTTCACGAGATCTACGGCCATGCTGTTCGAATAACCCTCAACACCTTATCTTTCACCAGCAGTCAAGCATGGGACGGTGAGTCGGAACAATCCTTCTCATACCGTTCCGCAGTTGAGCGTTAACACTCTAGTGGAGACATATACGGTCTCAGACGACAAAATGGAAGAGCAAACTTCCCCAAGGATCTGAGCTTTTACATTACACCTCCTGGAGAGGCTGACACCATCGTGCGTGATAACTGTTCTCGCGTCGGCTCGAACACGAAAGCTGACTCGCGCCCCAATAGTCCACAGCAAAAGATGCTGACCATCGCCGACTGCGACGAATCCAAGCGCATGCCTTTTCTGAGAAAGCACTATCGCTACAGGAGGGCTTTCTCAAGCAGTATACTACCATGTTCATATCTCGATTACACGAGAGTATTAGCCAGCCAGGCGGAGATGTCGTCAATATCACCCGTTGGCTCAACCTTCTCACAACCGACATCATTGGTGAGCTTACATTCGCCGAGAGCTTCGAAGGCCTCAGCAAAGATCGGCTCCATCCCTGGCTCGAAATGGTCTTTTTGACTCTGAAAGCCTTCACCCTTATACGGGAGCTGACTCGGCTGCCGCCTGTCTTCATGCGTCTTGCCATGGCATGCATTCCCGCAAACATGCTCAAGCATCAGCGGGCAGCTGTCGCTTTTGGTGCCAAGGCTGCGAAAAGGCGAATGGGGCTCGGTACCGAGCGGCCGGATTTCATGTGGTACATTCTTCGCCAGACGGGCGAACAACGGTATCTCGCTACCATGGGCTCATTGCATTCCCAGCCGTTTTGCTGACACGCGGATTCCTTAGCATGACGGAACCAGAGATTGAAGCAGCGGCAATCACATTCATCGTTGCGGGCAGCGAGACCAGTAAGTTCGCAATGCCTTCACTCTAATGCGTCGTCACCACGTTCGTCGGCTGATCCCACGTTAGCGGCCACTATGCTTTCTGGCACCATCTATCTCCTATGCCAGAACCGAGCCATCCTGGAAAGATTGACGGCCCTTGTTCGTACCGAGTTCCCCAGTGAGACTGATCTCACCCTAGTCAAACTCCAGCAGCACGAATACCTCAATGCTGTTCTTCAAGAGGGGCTGCGCCTGTATCCGCCTGCGCCGGACAAACTCTTCCGGGTGACTCCAGAAACCGGAGGATATGTGATGGGTGATTTGCTGCCCCCAAAGACTAGCTTGACCGTGAACCTTTGGGCGGCCAACCGGTCTTCGGAGAACTTTCATCGCCCTCTCGAGTTCATCCCAGAAAGGTGGTTGCAAGATGCCCCAGTTGAGTTCCGACAGGACGATAGGAATGCTATGAGACCGTTCAGCGTGGGACCTAGGGATTGTCTGGGGAAGAAGTAAGTTCCAATCCCACAAAATCGCATGAACATTCAGTGACTAGCTTATCTGACCATTTCGATAGTCTTGCATGGGCGGAGATGCGGATGATTCTTGCTTATTTGGTTTGGAACTTCGATCTCGAACTCCAATCGGATAGCCAAGGTTGGATTGAGAGACAGAAGGTGTTCATGCTTTGGGGAAAACCAGACCTGAACGTGAAGATTTCCCGGAGACATTGATGAGAACGCAGACCGGAGCATGTCCAGACAGCACTTGATGAGAACAATGAGCACTTTCTTTGAGAATAATTCTGGACAAAATCGCTATCAATACACAGCTTAGCAAATTTCATGAGTTCTACAGCTTGATGTTTAATCGATGAACGTGATAGCAAAGAGTTCCCATCTTCAAAAAACACCAACGCATGGATGTCCCGATCTGCTACCCAACAGCAGAGGTTTTTCGACAGATGATAGGGGCACCCGTGGGATGGCCGAATTGGGATTCGTTTAGGGAGAAACTTAGTGTAGCACCAACTGTCCGATGTATGATTTCCTCGGGACCTTGAACTCATCCGAGCACAGTGAGGCAAGAACCCGGCAGAGCGGTCCGATGCTAGCGGTGGATACCTCCCGGGTGAAATTCCAGCCAGTAATTCATATCCACAGCACGATGCTTGCTAAGACACAAAAAGATTCGCCGAATCTCACACCGGCCGAATGCCGTGATTCCCCATGGAGTTGTAGGTAGTCACACGCTCACAACCTTCGCTTCCGGTTGGTGTTGAAAGTGACCCGGTCATCCCCGGAGGACGAAATTGCTACCATTCCCCCACCCCGGTCAGCCGGTACCCCCGCAAAGTGCCTGCTGATAGACGTCATGTTCCTGGCAGTCTTCCCGGAAGCGCTCCCCGTCCCCCTCATCCTGCCCATTTCTCCTCACGATGTGGAGGCCCTGCGGAGGAACTCCGCACTTCGAACCTATCAATCATCTTACCTGCGCAACGTAGGATGAGATTCCTGAAGTAAAGTTTGCAAGTCTTGATGTTCTGGAAGAAAAAGTCCTTGGCTCGGCCGAGAAACGCACTGATTCGATCGTCGCACCAGCGGTGAGCCGGCTACTCTTCGGGGATTTATATAAGTCCGTGTTGTTACATAACGTATTAAACGGGGCTTCAGTGACCATACATAGATACATAGGTACTCACAGCCATCGTGGCCGACGCCTTGTCTCACCACCCGACTTTTCGAGAGTCAACCCGTTCGGAATGTGGTCGACTGGAAGCTTGGCTGCTCTTGCGCAGCTTCTCGCGCTTTCGACAGGCGTTGCAGCCGTCGCGCAGTCGCCAGAGGTTTACCCGTCGCGTAAGTCTTGTTGCCCGTCCAACAGCCCTGTGCGCGTCAACAAATCAATAACTGACGTAATTGCGAAATAGCATCTGGGAAGGGATCAGGTGTCTGGAAAGATGCGTACGCCAGCGCGCGCAAATTAGTAGACCAATTGACCCTGGAGGAGAAGGTGAATATTACCCGTGGGTTTGCGAGCGACAATGTTTGTGCTGGCAATACCGGGTCAATCCCGCGGCTGGGGTGGCCTGGGATGTGCCTTCATGACGCAGGCAATGGCGTGAGAGCGACCGACCTGGTCAACTCGTATCCTTCAGCTCTGCACATCGGCGCCACTTGGGACAAGAACTTGACTTATCACCGTGGATATTGGATGGGAAAGGAGTTCAAGACTAAGGGAGGTGAGTGCAAGGTAATCGACAAGTTCTAATTTGAGGAGATGATTGACGGTTTACTCAGTAAATGTTCTACTGGGACCTAATGCAGGTCCTCTTGGAAGATCACCTCTGGGTGGCAGGAACTGGGGTAAGAAACACTCATCTCAGCTGCAAGTTTCGTATCCATACTAAACTCGTGCAAAGAGGGTTTCTCGGTTGACCCGTACTTGTCGGGACAGCTCAACGCGGAGACCATCATTGGTCACCAAGATGCCGGTGTCATTGCCAACCTTAAGGTGCGTTTTTTAAGCTCAAATTGCGACAAAAAACCTGTTACTGACCTTGCTCGATAGCACTTCATCGGAAACGAGCAAGAAACCTACAGAAGGCCATACTTTGGCGTCGAAGCCGCATCGTCCAACATCAATGACAAGACCCTGCATGAGTTCTACCTCTGGCCTTTTGTCGATGGCGTCAAGGCCGGTGCTGCATCCATCATGTGCTCCTACAACAGAATCAACAACACCTACGGTTGCGAAAACAGCAAACTCATGAACGGCGTCCTCAAGGGTGAGCTCGAGTTCGATGGGTTTGTGCTTCTCGACTGGAACGCGCAACACAACCTTCAGAGTGCCAATTCTGGTCTGGACATGGTCATGCCTCTTGGGGGAAGTTTTGGTCAGAACTTGACCGATGCTGTCAACAATGGTACCGTCGACGAGTCTCGAGTGACGGATATGGCTACAAGGTAATTCATCCCAACTCAAACAATCCAAGGGACGTCATTAACCTCTTCTAGAATCCTTGCCGCTTGGTACCTAGTTGGCCAAGACACAGACTTCCCTATTCCCGGGATTGGTATGAAGAATCTCACAGAGCCTCACGAGCAGGTCGACGCTCGTGACCCAGACTCGAGGTCAAACATTCTCGAGGGCGCGATTGCCGGACACGTCCTCGTGAAGAATGAGAACAATGCCCTTCCCTTCGCTCAAGCACCCAACATGATCTCGGTCTTTGGGTATGATGCCACGGTACCCGACACGAAGAACACTGACAAGCTGTTTGAGCTTGGTTACTACTCCTCTCCAGAGATGGGCCAGGCCGTGCTAGGCACCGAAAGACACTTCGACCAAGCGGCCAAGGGAGGAACCATCGTCAGTGGAGGCCGCGCTGCCGCCAATGCGCCGTCTTATATCCTCGATGTAAGTAAAAGCCCATTATTCATTTCCAGATTTGGCTAACCCATTGTAGCCCCTCAGCTCCATCCAGCACAGAGCAGCCAAAGATGGTAGCTGGGTAAACTGGGACCTCACGTCTCCCAATCCCGACATCAACGCCGCCAGCGACGTCTGCCTCGTCTTCATCAACGCCATGGCAACGGAAGGTTGGGACCGCGACGGCCTCCACGACGACTTCAGCGACGGTCTCGTCCTCAGCGTGGCCTCCAAATGCCCCAACACCATCGTCATCATTCACGCCGCCGGCATCCGTCTCGTCGACCAGTGGATCGACCACCCCAACGTCACCGCCACCGTCATCGCCCACCTTCCTGGCCAAGACAGCGGCGAAGCGCTCGTCCAGCTCCTCTACGGCGAGGCCTCCTTCTCCGGAAAGCTCCCCTACACCCTCGCCAAGAACGAGAGCGACTACTCTGTCTACAAGCCCTGCGGACGCGGTGAGACGAACACGACGAGTCCGCAGTGCGACTTCACCGAGGGCGTTTACATTGACTACCGCGACTTCGATGCTAAGAACGTCACTCCGAGATACGAGTTTGGGTATGGACTGAGTTACACCAGCTTCGAGTACTCGTCAATCTCCGTCAAGAAGCAGGATACACACGCCGGATTTGCCGCGAACTCCAATGCCCTGTGGTCTACCGTCGCAACCATCCACGCCACGCTGAACAACACGGGGTCCCGCGCGGGAGAGGAAGTCGCGCAGCTGTATGTTGCCATTCCGAACAGTCCGCCGAAACAGCTTCGTGGGTTTGAGAAGGTGGCCCTTGAGAGTGGACAGGGTGCGGACCTGCAGTTCGAGTTGACAAGGCGGGATCTGAGTGTGTGGGATGTCGTGGCTCAGAAATGGACTCTTCAGGAGGGCGATTATACCGTGTTTGTGGGCGCGAGCAGCCGAGACTTGCCTCTGTCGCAGGTCCTTTCGATCTGAGCCCGAGCATCTTCAGTTGAGGACTTTCCTTCCCTCTTGAATTCTTCATACTTATAAGTAGTCTGATGATGAACTTATGGTCAAGTTGTTTCGTCCTCCGTGAGGTTGGGTACACAGATGTATATACATCTGCCCAATCAGACACTTCAAAGAGAGAAAACACGGGGGAGGCGACCTCTCTGCCTTATCCGTGTGCAAACCTTTCGAGAGCCCTGCTTCCACTGAGACATCATCGTCTGCACTAGAGAAGTTCAAAAAGCAAAAGCAAGGTCCATCCAGGATTCGAACCTGGGCTTACGGAAGGTTCTGAGATCATCAGAATCCGACGTCCTAACCAACTAGACTAATAGACCAATTGAGTTGATGCAGCCGTGATGAGCTGGTGTGAGCTTTTCCACAGAAAATGTGGAATATGTCGCGTGGGTTTAGCCCTCGTGGACCTCAAGTGGGGGCAAGTTTGACCAGGACCAGGATTGGCACAATAAAAGCCCACCGCCATCAACAGATTCAGGTCCCTTGTGAGATCTTCAATCTTTAAATATGACTATTCAATGTGAGCCCTGTGGCTTCCAAAAGAACTTTGCCATGAACCTGCCCCATTGTATCAATACCCGAACCGCTCCAGGCACTCAATCAACTCCTTCTCACCAGCAGTCCGCATCTCCACAATCTGCTCCGCTGTCTTTCTCTTCAACATGACAGGGTGGTGTAACGCAAATGGGGCAAGCAGGCTTTCCAACTTTCTAAGCTGTTCGATCGCGGTCATGCCAGGGATCTCGCTTGGCCTCAATGCTCCTCTTTCAGCCAGCGCATCATCCCATGCCTTCGCTCTCGCAAGCTGCCCAAGTGCCCCTTCTGGCAGATTGGGAATGCTGAAATCCCCTGCCAGCATTGCTTTGGCAATTTTGCCATCGCTCAAGTCTGGGTCCCGTGCGGTGCCGCCGTTGGTGCTGCCCCCAATGTCTCCAAAAGAGGTGAAAAACTCGTGGGCGGGGTGCGAGACGTAGGCCCAGTCAAAGTCAAGGACTCCTGTGATTCGTCTAGTTTCGGGGTCGAATTGCACGTTGTTGGTGGCTAGGGCTCGAGTCAACACACACCATCCTTCCGGAAGCCTAAAGCTTGCTTTCGACTTACTGAGATCGCCATGAATAAGCACACGTTGGGTCTCGTCGACTCCAGCGCTGGCAAGATACGGACCAAGCCCGGAGAATATGAATTTGTCAATGCGTTGACGAACGCCGTTCGGCTTCCAACCTTGGAGATTCGAGCTCCTATCGGCATCGCGCAGGCTAGACTCCAACTTGCACCTCCAAAACTCGGTGTACGAGTTCCATGGAGCTCCTTCGAGGATGGTCATTTTGCCACCTACAATCTTTCCAGACTCGCTGATGGTTAACCCACCGTGGGAGGTAATGCTATCGGGCAACGGCGCTCGTTGGATGCCGGTGAAGACGTCCGCAATCTGGCCGAGTACGATGTTTCTCTCGTCATCTGATAGATCCTTGAACTTGGTGTCGAGCGGCACGCCTTTCTTGAACTCCATCATGGTCCAACTGTAACCATTGTCGGCGTCTTGAGTTGGCTTCCAGGCGTAGATGGCCGGGATGAGACCAGCAACTTCAGGCTTGAATGATTGAAGGCCCTGGCGGGCAAGGAACATCGCAGCAACTTCGTTTTCGATGCGATTGTCTTGGATGATGTCCGTAGCCCTGGAGTTGGCCAGCCGCATTACTACAGTTGAGACGCCTCCCTCTGGTAGGGGCGTGGTGTACGCGCCAGCGTTGAGAAATGCATCCTGCGTGGCTGGTTTGGCCAGAACGATTTTGTAGATGAAGTTGTTGTAGGGAAACGGGACGTCCTCCTGATATTCCACAGGTGTGATCTCGGTGGGCTGTGTTTTGTATCAATGAGCTGAGCTCTTGAAGCGAAAGCAGGTGTTTGTACGTACCTCAAGACCGAATCCGACCACCGTGTTCCTGACGAAATCAAGACGCTCTTGGAAGTGTTCGTGATTCATGATTCGTTGTTACTTTGTGTGGGTTTGTTGTTGAAACGGGTTTCTTGGGAAATGGAACACGGGATTGTGTTAAATATGCAGAAAGCCAGAGACTTTTCAAGTCTACTTCTGATCCCAATAATGCCAAGCAACCACCCACAGTCGAAACCACACCTTCCCTTGAAAGTATCTTGAGTCAGAGCGCTAAATGTGGAAGGTAAACCGCAGCAATCTGCTTTTCTTTTCGCCTGCATGTAGCATGTTCACGATGTTGAGATATGTGCGATTTTATAGTTGAGGCGAATCGGATCTCACCCGATAATTCCGGTGCCAATCAACAGCACGCTTCGTTGGTGCCGCCGTCAGCTCTCATCCTTGTCAAAAGCCGTTGTTGCCTGGAGAGTCAGTCTCAAGTTGTACAAGAATCGAGAATCTGGCCGTTTCTGCCTAAACTGTGCCACAGAGGCGCATATCGAGAGTGGCTTTTCTTGCAAAGTTCATCAAACTGCGAGCGCAAGTGATGCTCGTGAATTCCTGTTACTGATTGTCTGGTAGTAATATCACAACACTATCGTGTTTTCACTCAGTCGTCGAATTCTGATAGCTTTATTCACAATCAAAATCCATATGTTACCATCGACCACAGACTCAGTAAAACGCCTTCTGAGTCTTTGCAAGTCACAGTTGATTCAGCCCCAGCAGAACCCACGACATTGGTCTTTGCATTCATTGAGTTAATGATGTAATGCGATGCTCAATTCAAGCTACAAGGGCTTTTCTATGGGCAACTACCTGGAAGATGAAACTTTGACTTGAGCTAGTTTTCTCCCACAGATTCGTGCTCGCGCAGCTTTTACATTGAAACCGCGCGAATTGTCTGATCTTCTGAGCAAAGATATTTCTCCAGGTAATCCAGATCATCGGCACGTCCGAGCTCACGGCTAAAGCGTTTGCGGCGCACCTCCGGCCAAGCCTGAGAGCTTGTCAAATGAATTTTCGATGACTTCAAAAAGGAGTGTCAAAACCGTTTGAATGCGAATGCGCCATTCAAAAAGCGCGCCATCATCAACGGATCCTGATTACCTGAATCGATAAGGACGTCGAGTATTAAGAAATAATTAGCGATAGGTGGATCTTGACAATTTCCGCGAAGTCGCGAATCTCACGGTCCGGGGTATTAGTGGGCACCACTGCGGCGGCTCATGCTCATCAACACAGCGACGGGACTCTAAAGAGCCTCAAGAACTTGCGAGCGTCATGATCAATAAACTACTCCGCATCTCGAGGCGTCCAAGGGACTTCTTCCAAAACATCACATTCGTTATTTCCCGTGGTTTGGCCGCAATCGCTCAGTGGCCACCGGCAATAACGGCAGATACACGAGATACGGTGCGGGTCGCTGACGGCGGATATTGGCCGCGCTAGACAGCAATAGGAAGCTCAGTAGCATCGATTCATGAATGCTGATCCCCCCCACGTGCCCGGGCAATCTCATTCTCTGGATGATAGCCAATGCGACTTCGGCCGCCACACGGATGAGCGTTTATCGGCTCGCCGCGTCAGCGCGGAATGATGCGTGTAAAGATACCGGCGGGCGGCGGTCGCCAAGAAAAGCTTGTTTACGCGGGAGCTGCATCCTCTTAAAAGCTTGGCTGCATGCAACACCCGCCCGTCGGGAAACGCTTGCATCTCCAGGTGGCCGTCGGTTTTCCTCTCGTTCTTTTGCGCGGCCTGACTCGTTCTTTCATTGGATCGGTCGTTTCAGAGTTCTCAAGATGCGTTTTACGAATACAATCTTGGCGTCGCTTGGCTTTGCCATCACCACCCCGGTCTTGGCTTGCGATAGCTGCGAACACCCCGAGAGGGATGTGGTGTTGACGAGACATGTTCGCAGGGCACAACCTGATGCCCAGGCTGCTGCAGTCGCCCCTCGCGGCCCTCTGTCGTGGGGTCAATTGAACTTTCTCCATACGACTGGTACGTCGCATTCAATGATACGAGTTTGAGAACATGCATGCTGATATTGGTGGTCTAGATACTCACGGCTGGTTCGTCCTTCAGGGACAAACTCCATGTTCACCCACTGACTGAATTATCCAGGCTGGAAGGCCACATCCGTGAGCAGAACTATGGAGCCGACTGGGGTGACTTCGTAAGCTTCGTCAAGCACATGCGCCAGAAGGCCGAAGACCTCGACGTTGATTTATTGGTCGTCGACACTGGAGTATGTAGAAGCGATCTCATTCTCGGCGCAATGATGTTGACAAAATTAGGATTTGCATGACGGCGCAGGTCTCAGCGACGCCACTGGTGTTTCCACCTACGCGAACGGCACCGGTGTCAATGGCCAAATTTCGAACCCCATTTTCGAGAACATCGACTACGATGTGCTGGCCATTGGTAACCACGAGCTGTACATTTCCAGCATCGCATACGAGACCTTCAGTCAGTTCGCCAAGGTCTATGGTGACAGATACGTCACCAGCAATGTCCAAATTCGCAACCCCAGCACGGGCGCGCTTGAGTACATTGGCAAGCAGTATCGTTACTTCACCACGCCGAAGGGTAAGTTGCTCTTATGAGACGCAATTACCGTTACCCCAGATTCTAATGAGTTTTTCAGGCCTCAGAATCATGGCGTTTGGCGTTCTCTTTGACTTCACCGGCAACTCCAATGCCTCGGTCGTCACCAAGGCCGCGACCATGGTCAAGCAGCCATGGTTTCTGAGCGCCGTCGATTACAGCGAGCCTGTTGATCTTTACCTGGTCATCGGCCACAACCCTGTTCGGCCAACGCAGAGCAGCAGCACGCTCAAGACTGTCTTTGACGCGATCCGCGCCATCAAGCCTGACACGCCTGTTCAGTTCTTCGGTGGACACACTCACATCCGTGACTTCGCCGTCTACGACGACAAGTCGACTGCTCTCGAGTCCGGAAGGTACTGCGAGACTCTGGGCTTCCTTTCCATGTCTGGCATCAAGTCCGACAACTACAAGGGCGCGGTATATCCCAAGGGTGTCCCTCACCCTGCCCAGAAGGCAGTTGCTGTGGCTACGACAACGTCCTCGAGCAGCCCTGCCTCGGCGACTGGCAACTCCACCATGACCTACTTCCGTCGCTACCTGGACTGGTAAGATCAAAGTGAGACTGTCATTTTGCAGAACACTAACAGCTTTTCCAGGAACACTCTGACATTCGAGTATCACGCCGTTGGTAGCCAGGCCAAGGCCTTCAACACGTCCAAGGGCGTCAGTGTAACTCAAGAGATCACATCTGAGCGCAAGAATCTCAACCTGACGACTCTTTACGGCTGCGCTCCCCAGACTTGGTGCATCGATTGTGCGCCCTTCATGTCCGAAGGATCCATGTTCAATTTGACGACCACTGCTCTTGCAGCCACCATCATCACCGAGGAGAGGAAGTCCACCCCGAGAATCATCATCGCCAACACCGGCCATATCCGATTCGACCTCGCCCAAGGCCCCTTCGACTACGACTCCTCATTCATCGTATCTCCCTTCACTGACGCTTTCGAGTACATTCCCGACGTTCCCTGGTCGTATGCTAGCCAGATTCTCAGCAACCTGGAGTCGGGAGCTTTCCCTTCAAAGAGGAAGCGTTCGTTGACGAAAGATTCTCTCGGCTTTAGCCAATTCAACCCTGCTCTGTTTTCTGTCGATAGCTGCATTGACCCGCCAGTCACCAACGACCACTTTGCGAAGCGATCCTACGCTGGAGGCCGTATCGTTCGTCGCCAGGACATCACTCCGGGATACACCACATCCGATGATTTCGGCACCGACGGCGACGACACCGTCCACAGCGAGATCCCGGTCTACGACTATCCCAACTTCTTCCAGGCCAACGGCAGCTTCCCTGGCGATGGATCGATTTCAGATGATACCAAGATTGACTTGATCTTCCTGGACTACATTGCCGGTTCAGTCGTGACTGTTTTGCAGTCTTTGGGAGCCAACTACACCTCTGCTGACGTTTCTTACTATCTCCCAAGCGTAAGTTCACTCTCACGGCGTACATAACGTTGGGAAAAGACAACTGAAGACTCACACATTACTAGACATTCACGACCAACTCCTACTTGCCCAAGTATGCAAAGGAGAGTGCCACCTGGCAGGCTAATGTGCCTAACTGCCCTGTCGGACTTGGCATCGGATACAACACTACGACCGCTTGAGAGAAGCGACTGGGGCTGCAACTGGCCTTCATTGATGGCAGGCTGTCTACCTAATTCATGAGACGCGTGCATCTGCTATGCGAACCCAAAGGAGTACTCGTAGAAACCATTTGTATGACTGCATTCATCAATGATACTCGGACATATCATCAACTATTTACAAATAAAACCGAGCCCTAGTAATAAACGGAACGACAATCAATCGTTTTTCCATTCTTCAAGTGCTGGACGGGTTCTATGTATAACCTCAGTTATTTGGTTAGAGAATTGGTCGCGATTTGTGACGTTGGAAAACACATTAATTGCCAATGCTTAAGCTTGAAGAATAAAGACTTTCCACCCGGTTTCGTCATGTCTGGTCCTGCGATAACAGAGGCTTCTGTGACATTCGTCAAAAAAAAAAAAAAAAAAAAAAAAAAAACGCCACTTCTGTTTCATTGCACATTCCCCGAGCTCCATATCTAGCCTAGGCAAATTAGCTGGAAGAGCGACATCGACAAGACAGCTGCGGACGACAAAGCTGACAGTACATATATCAATGGCCGCATGTATGAGATATTACCTTCTTAAAATAAGGCTCATGAATTGCATCAGTTTAGAAACTAATCTTCGAGCAACGGACGTGGCAGGCGTTAAATAATAATCATCAAAAAAAAAAAAAAAAAAGGGTTGCACCGACATCAGCCGTAGAAATAAGGGCGAGATGTGCATCAGAGCACGACATTGGTGATGTTGAGAACAAAGTTTCTCTGCGAAACTACATTTCTATCCCTTAAAGAACCTACCAAAGTGAGAAGTCTTGGCTTTTGCTACTGCTGGTTCCTTTTTCTCCATCATCCCCTTTTTCGCTTCATCTGTACGTCGTCTATCAGGGCAGTTGAGGGGATAACTGTACAGCTTTTCCATCGTCCGATCACTGACCTCGCCGCGGGCACATGCCGACGGTGGCAGCTTTGAGCCCTGAGGATTCATCCCCACCACGAATCCGTTACTACCAACTGTCAAAGACGCTTTCATCACTCGCCCATCCATGTAAGTGGCCATGACCGGGCGCGGTGTAGGGTGATCTTCGCTCTGGTAGCCGATATGCCGCCCAGCTGTCGTCATGGCCTCGCACATAACCGGCAGCTTCTCCCGCTGCTGTTTGACCGGGATTCCCACGCCTTCAAAAGCCAATTTCTTGTCTGGTACTTGCATGTGCTTGAAGCCAGCTTTCTTATTGCCTTCCTCCAGCCACAGGTTGCCTGGACGGACGCTCGCATCGGCTGGGATAGGAAGTTCGCTAGTTGCAGGAAGATGCCATACCCGCATGGTCTTCTTGGGGGTAATTTTGTGACCATCTCGTTGAATATTGTCGATCATTCGCTTCGTGGACTCCGATTGCCTAAAGGTACGGGGTCAGTGAGTTGGTCGTGCTGCAGTCCTTGAATGGACTCACTGATAAGACATGGTGAATCGATGATAACATCAACTGTGTCGAAGAAACGTAGGTGATATTTGGAAAAGTAGAGATGAATGAATGTGTGAGGATTGCCTTGCTTCCTTGATTTCATCTCCATAATGTCATTAGGCTGGGATTCCTGCAAGATATACTTCTATTAACGCACACCGAGCTTGTCAATCTTCTTTGGAAGACCGTTTGAAATCGTAGTGACAACTCTAACCGCCTGCAGCAACTCGTTGGGACCACCGGTTTAACGCCAGGCGATGGCGGCCCAGGCCATCACTTTCCAGCGAGTACGCGCTGCTGGCGCGGTTGGTTTCATCGACACAAGCCCTTGTCAACGCCAGAATGTTCTGTTGGAACTTAGCGCCGGTATCGTTGTGGGTGGGGAATTCTGGTCGGACCGGGTCTTTGTTGGCCTCGCTTTTGTCCAGGTTCCTGAAGAATCTCCTCTCCGAGAGGCCCATTACTGTCTCTGCTGGGTTCTGTTGGAACTTACCGCTATGATCGAGAGGATTTATGTTGGCGCGCGCGACTCACTTCAACCCCGGATATCTCAAAATATCAGAAACCTTTCCTTTCGTCGCTGGTGAAGTCGGAATAATCCCGGCTGGTGAGCTACCCCTGTCAGTGAAAAGAAGAGTCGTTGGCGCTTAAATGGTTCCACAGCCACGCCTCAGCCCCAATGACCGAATATTAATACATACCACACTCCCCGCAGGAGGAGGTGTTTTCAGATCTGCATCTTTCGTATCAGTCAATTCATCATCAGTTTTCACAATGGCTGACATCGCCTCACTCAAAGCTCTTATGCTACTTGCTCGATCTCAATCTACGACAATTCACTTCTCTTTAAAAACATCTTACGGCTTGGTGTTAGAGTATCAATCCGGCAAACAGCTGTGCCTCCGCCTTAAAGACTCCACAACAGCATCAAATACGCAACTACCAACCCAGTCTCACTCGGAGGGTCTGGAATACGAGGCCTCGTCCGGATCTAAGCCGCTAGGTGTACCAGGTTCACGCCACGACGATTTGTCCAAAGGCCAACTCGATTCTGTTGTTCCAGGCCAACAGCCCCTCCAGTCAGGCTACCGCTACCTGATTGACCCAGACTATGGCACTTCCGCTTTGTGGTATCGTCCAAAATGGCCTGGTAACCCCGAGGGCGAGTTTCACATTGACCTTCGGAGTCTAAAACATCGATATTCCTCTGCTTGGATTGAGGCCTTTGAGAAGTGGGAAAGGCGATGGACTGAAGCTTTCAAGGCCCAGGAGTGCCATCTCGGTTCTTACAAGGAGCCGTTTCCGGATCTAGAGGAGCGGAAGACTTGGTTCGTGGAGGGTGCGCTGCTAGCGGCTTGGCTTGTATTGCAGGACGATGTTGACCAGGTGGCTTACGATCCGGATGATGGAATATTTGAGCTGCGGCGCGATGGCCTGGGGGAGACTTTGGCAGGGATGCTTTACGATTTGACCGATGGTTTGAATATTAAAGAGGAGTCGGATTCCGACTAGATCCTAGCCGCTGTTTCTTCACGCAACAACATCGCACTGCCTGGTTCCAAGGTTTGCTGGCGAGGCACGATGTGTTTCTCTCGTGGCTGGACTTATGCGAAGACTAGGAACGAAGTTTATGGTCTTTACGATGAGCAGACATCCAAAAGTCCCATCACCAGTCGAGACTTTTCAAAATAATAGGTAAACAGAACATTGTGAAATTTCCAATCAATCGAACTCTTATACATACTCAGTGATAAACTCGACTCCTTTACTATCAAAAAGCTCCCGTGCCTCTTCCAAATCGTCTAGAATAGAAACACGCACCGATGTCAAGTGCGGGAACTCGACTTGACAAACCCTCCCGAGTTCCAGAATGGCCGGCAGAAGGGTCCTCGTGCTACATGTAGAATAACCGCACTCGATTCCCACAAGTCTTATTGAGTCAGGTAACATGTTCACCAGCATTCGCGGTTCCATGTCTGTCTCATCTTCCTCGTAACAGGGGACAACGAGATATTGCGCGTCGAGACGCAGCTCTTGCAACTGTTCCAACCCTCTCAATGATCTCATCATATCTTCATCGGTAATACCATCGTCTCGATAATACGAATTATCGTCTTCGAGCATCAAGAGCTTTAAGAACTTCAACTTCGGCGCATGCTTCAGGATGGCTTCTTGCACATCGCGCGCCCTTGGAGGCGTTTCCCCATCCATAATGCCGGCGTCTCCACCATAATAAGTAAGCTTTTCCAGGCTCGGGAGTTGTTTCAGTAGTCGATTGAACGCTTCAATTTGGAGGAAGCTGTTCCGAAGGGTGATTTCTGTGACGTTCGCCATTTTCAAGCCCATACCGACCTCGATGACGGCGTATGCAAAAACTGATGCAATGTTCGGTGCAGCAAGGAAGATCTCCGTCGCATAAGCGAGATCAAAACCACCGTTATCATCCCAGTGTGATACGGAGAGTCTCTTCAGATTCCGCAGAGATCCGGGAGGGCAGAATGGTACGGGGTCGTAGTATCCGTTCCAGGTGACAGTGAGACATAGGTCCTCGATATTGGTGCACTTGCCGATGAGCAGGCTCAGAAGCATTGTTTCATCCTCCTTGGGCTCGTCTTGTGATATGCGCAGGTGATCGAGCTGGGTCGTCACTTCTTTGAGTACTAGTTCATCGTTTCCAGATGTGAAGGTGAGCTCATCGTCCGAGCCCAGGTGCAGCGACTTCACATGCTGTGTGAGATCCGGACGCCATTTGAATAGTGTTCTCGCAAACGCGATCTCGTTCCTCCGGTGGAATCGATGATACAAAATCGGAGTGGCAACTGAGTTCAGCGGTTTGTTCGTCAGGCAGAGGTTGACAAGTGCAAGACGTCTCTCATGCTCCGGTCTTCCGATTGGGCAGCTGTCGTTGCAGTACATGCCCCAATAAGTTGATGACGAACGAGGAGGATGGCAATGAGGGCAGAATAGCGTGAAGATTTTCTCTAGAATGGAAGCTGGTAACCCAGAAAAAGGAGACATGATGGGATGGTATCGTTGGAATAGCTGGCTGAGTCAAGGGTGTCGAGAGATGTGTACCAATTGTTAAGAGACAGGTTTCAAGAAAATGATGGATAGATCCCAGCTAAAACCTGCAGTATTTGAGGCGCGGTATCGAATGCAAAATCTACGATGTACTACCAGCTGCCTCAGCTGTGACTTTCACATCGTGATGTTGTCCTTGTGTGTCGTCTGGTGCAAAATGGTATCCCCTGACGCACGGTACCTATGCCGCATAGGCAACAGGCCGGGGTCGGCTGAACGGGAGAATTATGAGTGGTATAAAACTGTGGGATTATAGGGCTGCTTGACCGCATTTAGAACAACTGGAATGTCTCAGGTAGTGACAGAAGCTGCGAGAGTTAGGCCGGTTGGTTGAACCAGATCGCTTGTCGGTCTGGCTAATGTGCATCTGCGAACTCTAAATGACAGAGCGGCTTCCCGGACCAGGCAGCCGCTCAGGGGTTTCGTCTCTTTCGAGCAGTCCTGACGGTTCCCGTACCCTGGGTGCGCGAGTCAAGCCGGCAGGACATACGACCACCAAGTGGAGCGCCTTAGCATTCACCCACACAGGCTGTTGCTTCAATGGATGAAGAACTTTGTCCTTGCCATGATACGCGGCTTATCTCCTCGTTCTCACTTGCGCAATGAAGAACCGCAGAATCACCAACTACCTTACTCTGCTGTACTTTCCTATCAAGAGACTGCACAGATCCAAAAGCCACCGATTCCTTGCGTCTGGTGGACTTGATGTCACGGATAGCGGCAAACAATAAGTACAAAAAGAGATTTCTCTCAAATATTTCGGCTTGTTTCGACAATCCACGTTCAAGAGGCTAAGGCCAGAGAAGCTGTAGAGACGCTTCATGCTTTATAATACATCTCTGAACCACTTCAATTGTTTGCATCCCCAGGAAACTCGGTGGAGCCATAACCGTCCATGCCCACCGTATTCTTCCCCGCTTCGCCTCTCGGTCTGGCCTCCGAGCTTTGAAGGTCTTTCGGCGTCTGCACTCCGAGCCCCGACCGTCGTGGCCCACGCACGCACTAGAACCGGCGCCAAAGGGCCGAATCGCGAAAACGCCGTGTTGTGCTCCGACTTTTTCCCCAATCCCCCCAATGATCCTCCAGTAGTCGAGCAAGCGTCGTTGATTGGTTTGGATGGTATCATTGAAGGTGTGTCTTGACGGTCGACGGACCTCGGACGTTATTTGACCTGGAAATAGCTAAACTGGACTAGTACAATTAATGCAAAAGTAAGTGGTTGATTACGACATGGTGTACAACCTGAGATGACGGGAGTTTTGGAACTACGTATGGGCGACCGTTCAAGGTTCACATTCATGACTTCTGAACTGGACGTAAATTCGCCTCGGCCTTACTTCTTCGCAATGATATCAGCCAACATTTCCTTGAAGCCCTTTTCAGATAACGGCTGTATCCCCAATAGTTGGTTATCAGTCTCTCCATACTGGTTCCCAAGCCCGTCACCAAATGCGCCCTTCACAGCGTACACGTGGAAAACGCCCATCTTGGACCCGTCCACAGTTGCCTGTGCGGCAAGATGCTTCTCAAGTTCGTCCAGGCGAACCTGTTCTTCGTACCATTCTCCCTCCGAGATGACTTCTTTCGCATAGCCGAGTATCTCCTTCTGGGACATGAGTGCTTCGTGGATGTAAACGGGCCGATTCTTGGTCTCTTCTGAGTGCTTCAGGACGGCGACAACTGCTCGCGCCGCAGTCGGCATCGTGATCATAGAGACCGCCCGTTCCCCTCCGTTGTACAAACGCGCTTTTCGCTCTTTGAAGTCAAGGACAACTCCGGTCTCGATTGACAAGTCGATAAACACGTTGTTGTAAATGTAGGTGTAAGTTATGCCGTGAGACCTAGCTTTTTGCTCCAAGTATTCTTCCACTTGAACCTTTTGTTTGTAGTTCGGAAATTTTCGTATTTGATGATCTTGTAGGTTCGATCCGAATTCGGATGGAATGAATCTCTTGACGCCGGCGGTAGCGGCTGCGTCAATCAATGGGATTTGAAGCGGAATTGCCTCTCTTGAGAGTACGCTCACGACAGCATCCTGGCCCGCTAGTGCCTTGACAAGACTCTCTTCATTGTTGTAGTCGACAATGGCTAGATTTGCACCGAGGCCGGCGTCAACTCCCTGTCCCCTACTCAGAATAGTGACATTGAATAAACCAGATTGGAGGAGTTCTTTCGAAATCAAAGACCCGAGTAGACCGGAACCCTATTCCTGGTCAGTCATAAGCCCTACAGCATATTCGTTCCGGTGTTCGAACACTGACACCGACGACTGCAACGTTTCGGATTTCCTGGCTTACGGAAGCCATCGTCGCTACTCCAGACAAACTGTGATGTGATTGGGCAAGCAATTCTCTGTGCGATCTTGTGTATTCAAGAAGCCGCCATCAGTATTTGAGGCATTCCTTGTCGTGCACACCCTTTAATGGAAGCCGAAGGCTAAGCCGGCCGTCGGTCTGAAATGCCCGAGTACGGTGTCCGCTTCGGCAAACTCGCCAGGCCTGTCCGAAAGGCAGTCCATAACATCACAAACCGCTGGTCGCTGAATTAAGGGTTCCTCGGCATTGTAAGAATGTCATGTGGGAAGGCAAGTATTTCGTCAAGTGAAAGAACATATCAGTCTTGTCAGGGAGAACCTATAGAACCATCTACCTCATTTGAACACGACCTTGTTCGAAATGGATCCAATTTCGCTGATTTCAACATCAACTACGTCCCCGTGGCCCAGCAAGCCGTTTGAAAACCAGCCAACGCCGTTGGGTGTGCCGGTCATGACCACTGTCCCTTGTTTGAGAGTGCGGTTCTTCGAAGCGTAAGCAATCAGCTGCTTGACGCTAAAGATCATTTCCCTTGTCTGAGTATCCTGTCTCTTTTCTCCATTTACCTTGGTTACCAGATGGAGTGCTTGGGGGTCGGGAATCAGCTTTGTAGAAGTGATACAAGGGCCGATCGGTCCGAAGGTATCAAACGACTTTGAATGGCCCATCTGGTTTCCCGAGATCTCTACTGGGACCAGACTTCTCGCAGAAACGTCGTTGCCGATAGTGTACCCCAAAACATAATCGAAAGCGTCCTCTTCCTTCACATCTTTCGCATCTTTAGACAACACGAAGACTAGCTCGCCTTCGTAGTCCAACATCGGCTGCGCATCATCGTGGGCGACAATGTCGTCGAGAGGACCGGTGAGCCTTTCAGCTGGCGTCATGAAGATGACGGGCTTTGTCGGGATGACGAACTGCCTAAACATGTCAGTGATGCTTGCCATCTCGAAATTACCGTCGAAGGTCATTCGCACGTTTGTCTCATTGGAGTGGAGCTTGTAGTTGAGACCAGCACATAGTACGGAAGGTGCATCGGGAACTGGGTTAAGCAACTATCACAGCGTTAACCTCGCACAACCTCAATTGGTGAAAGCGCACTTCTGACCTTTGCTACTGTGCGTTTCTCGTTTGTCCTGGTAAATCCGTACTGTAAGGTTCCGACCACGACAGTGACCTGGGTCCCAATTATCTCCTTAGCCGCCAGGGGCTTGGCCAAGTCGCCGTACGACGTCCTGCCCTCCCCATCCACGAAACGAATCAAACGGTCAAATGACATGATGAAATATTGTTCTCGTGATCAGATGAGCTTGAGAATTTAGGGTTCACTTGTGCTTGTAGGTAACTCTGGAGATGAGCCGAAATCCGAAATACACATTGCAGCTTTTGAAGAGAGAGTCCTCCTCGGGGGTACTTGCTCATATGCTAACGTCAGTCGATCATTCCGGAGTCCTACGGGAAACCCCAAAAGCCCTGCGGATCGCGTTCTCGGAGAGTTTGAGCGACGGCTCCAGCGGGTGCCGGGCTTTGGGGACGGAGAGACCGAGACCGATCAACGCGTGCAGGGGCTAGTCTGCTCGGCATCCGTCTCCCCGTTTCGACGCCGTCGAGACGAGTTATATCCTGTGCGATCATGGAGGAACTTCACCAAAAGCCGCCCATGGGCTCCGGACCTCTTTTCCAATTGCCACTTCAAGAACCTTCTCCACTATTTCTCATTGCCGTGGCCATGGCGTCTACAATTCCTGAGAGAATCAACCTCAAGAGCCTGATGTATGTATGGTACACACATACGGACATCGACGCAGCGGACAAATTTCTGACCGACTTTGGCCTCATACGAGTGCAGGCAACGCCAGACAAGATTTGGTATCGCGGCTTCGGCGAAAGCCCGGCCTGCTACATATCCGAGAAGTCCGCGGACGGCAAGCCAGCATTTCTTGGCGGCGGATGGAGTGTTGACACGTATGACGACCTGAAGGCTGCAGCTGAACTACCGGACGCTTCCCCCATTTCCAAGGCCGAAGATGTCATGGGAGGCGAAAAGGTCACCCTGACGGACCCTGCGGGGGGCTTGGTCCACCTTCACTGGGGTCATCACGAACGCAAGATCGCCCAAGACGAGGTGCCAAAGAAGCTGACCTACAACACTTGGGATACGAAGTCTCGGAAGGGGGAATTCCAACGCTTCGACGACGGGCCCAGCGACGTCCACAAGTTGGGACACTACGGTTATGAAGTCAGCCATGACGATTTCGAGAAAGTCCGTCAATGGTACTTCGATACTCTCACTCTCACAGCAACAGATTCCCTGTTCAATCCTCAAAACGGAAAGGATGTCATGACATTTATGCACCTTGACAAAGGTGAACAATATGTCGATCATCACGTCAGTTCCAATCATACATCTTCGACATACTGGCATTGACTATTTTCTAGAGCTTTTTCGTCTCTGCTGGGGATGTCACGGCCTGCACCGCAAACCACTGCAGCTTTGAGGTTGACGACTTCGACAGCGAGATGAAGGGTCATAACTTCCTCCTGAAAAAGGGATGGTCACTCGTTTGGGGCATAGGCAGACACTTGCTTGGAAGCCAAATCTTTGACTACTGGTTCGACAACGACGGATTCGTACTGGAGCATTACGCGGACGGAGATCTGGTGAATTGCAACAACCCACCCCAGCGAGAGCCAGCTTCCCCTAACAACATCGCAATGTGGGCGCCTATGTTGCCGCTCGCATTTCTTACTCGAAGCAAGGAGGACATGGGAAAGACTCTTGGGCCACCACCGGGTGCAGACGGGCCCCCAGCTACAGTCCCATCAGAATAGCTGCTTCAGATCACAAGTACAGAGGCTCACCTCACCCTGGACTGAGTTTTATTCATTTTGACTAGCCACTTCTCCTGTTCGTAGTCATTCAGAACTCTCCACCAAACACTTATGCTTGATGACCTTGCACCTCACCTGATGCCCGTCAGCCACAACCTGGACGGGATGCAACGGAGCTTGTAAGCTCAGGCTTCGGGGTAATCATCAAGGTAACCAGGTTTCAGAACTTTGTCGTACAAATGATCCATCTTATTCCCTTTGCTTTGGTTGAATCGATTTTGTTCTAAGTTCCACTAATCACGAAAGCTGCATGAGTATTAAAAGCTGTCGCTTGGCTTCGTGCGACGCAGGGAAGCTTCCATCTAATCAGTCAGGCTGACGACCTCCGAACATCCAACGAATCTCTTGTAACGTCTTCTGATTAACGTCAGAAGGCAATTCAAACCGAACCTGTGAGGTTATGCAAAATCTATGTATATGAGGAAATGATAGAAATGGGAGAATGCATGTTGGATCTTTATTGCTCCTGGATACGTATGCCCGCAGAAGCGCCCTATTACTCTTGGACCAAGTCATCGCGACGATGATCGGTAAGAGATGCCATGCTTCAGTTCTAATACTACTGCGCGCGCAGCACTTCCTCCAAAGGATCCAGATCCATGTTCCCCTAACGTCGAGACAATGTCAGCAGATACTCGACTCACGTAACGTGAATGCTGTCACCCACATAGACCTGCCATTCGGCCAACTCTTTCTTCCACGCCTCCTCAATCAATGACTTTCTCTCCGGTCTGACCTTCAAACTCAACGGAAGCCTGCTCCCAGGGACTCCCGGAAGTTCTTTCTCCATGTAGTCGTCAGGATTTAGCGGCAGTGGGGTGCCGGGCCGAACCCCTATGTCAAAAGCCCACAGCGTTCGCATGATAGCCACGGCAAATGATCTTTCGGCAACTTGTACACCCGGACCTGGGAAACTCCATGAGTGTGTGAGCCTGAAGAGAACATATGGGGATGAAAGGCCCCAAAGGGGAAGTGCTCACAAAACCGGCGGCCAACTCCGAATGCAAAGTGGTCTCTTTGGGTGGCGTCAGGTAGGTTCGCAGATTGCTGGGTCTGAATATCGCGTGCGTGTCAGTTTTTCCTCGATCGATGTGATGTCGAAGGGCAATAAAACTAGATCGACTCACTGACAACTCGTCGCCCTCCCAGCGCTCTGGTCTGAATGTATCGGGATCCGGATGACGCTTGGGGTCTCGACCAATCGCCCTGATGACGGAAAGTCAGCATCAGACTTTCTACCTTGACGTGCCAAGGTATTTCTGACAATCAAAGACGGAAGTCTCTCAACATACCAAATATTTGGTCGAACAGTAGAGCCTGCAGGGATGACATAGTCTTCGTAGGCAATGTCGGCGGTGATACGATGAGCGAGGGCATTTCCAACAGGCGGGCGCATTCGCCACGTCTCTTTCATGAGATATCGCACGTATGGTATCCGTTCGATGTCTCCCCAAACTGGCAGTCTGTCTCCTACGGCATCGTCTATGATGGATAGTCAGTCAAGACTCGCAGTAACTCCACAATGACGGAATTCTGTATTTCTTGCTCTTTAGAAAGTACGAACCTATCAATTTTCTAGCGTGCAGCTGAACGCGAGTATTCATCATCATCTGCTCGAGAAACACCCATGTGCTCACGCGGCTCTAGAAACAATTATCGTTCTGCGTGACAGTGAACTAATTATCTGCAATAATACTTACCGTATCTGATGCTGCCGCTATCAGTTTGAGGGCGACATAGGCAGCCTCAGTCTCACTAGCACCAGACTTATCTGAACTGGTGAGAACGCGTGTCATGAAGGAGTCCGGAGCTGATCCGGAATCTACAAGCTTCTTCGCGTACTGTTTTTTCCATCAGTATTCCACAAAAGATGAACCGAGAGAACGACGGAGGAGCATGTGGTCTTACATTCATCCGGTTCTGAACAAATTCAACGTCAGAATTATGTCTCTTGATGCCATTCTTGGCCCATGGCTTCAAAGCCAGTGGCAGGTAGTCGAGCGCCGTAAAGATGTCGGCGATATAAAATCCAGAGATTGTCGCTAATTGGGGTCTAAGTGAGCATTGGTGAAGCTGCAGAGAAATGGCAGTTTACTGTACATGTTATCTCATCGATGGCACTTTCTGACAAAGGATGAGTTAGTGTCTGCAAGTTAACCAATTTGAGCCTTGGATAACAATTTACCAAAAATGTATTGGCTTGCTGCGCTATCAGGTTTTGTTATCTGTGATGAACCACTATTAGTGTGAAGGCAACTCCTTGCATTTTGCTCTAACTGACCTCGAGCCCGTAAAGCTGGGATGTGAAAGTGCTATAAACGTAGCGCCCAATGCTATCCCACAGATTCGTCTGTTTCTCTGTGCCTGCATTCGGATCTTGCGCAACCTGATGTAGAAACTTCAGCGTTTCGTGATACAAAAATGGCAGACCAGCATCGGCGCGCTGAACGCTGGTGAGATTCTGGAGTGCTATTTTCCGTTGCAACTGTGAAGGTATGACACATCAGCAAATGCGTTATATCAATTGCCAGATTCATGAACATCTAACCTTCCATCGGGGATTGCTGGCATCCAAAAGATCCATGCTTTCATAGTTGGTGATGTACTTCTGTCCAACAAGCCAGGCGGGCCGCTCAGATGAAATCGCTGCATTCTTTTGAAATATCGCGGCACAAGCGCGGTCGGAATTGATGACATACTCGGTATTGGGTCCAAGAACGACTCGAATGATCTCGCCATGCTCTCGAGCCCACGCAATCATCTTGAGATGTAACAAGCCACCCGCGCTCACAACGTCCATGAGATTTCCCAGAAATGGGTATCCTTTTGGAGCTGGAGGGAGGTGCTGCATTGCCGATCCCTTCGCTGTCCACAAGTAAAACGCCAGAGCCAGAATCGCAAGGGCGACAGTACTCGTGGTTCCCGAGGCGACACCTGTGATCGCCGCGGTGTCAAGTTGTAACAGTCCCATCTTGAATAGATAGCAATAAGAGATGTGGTCGAAGGGCTATGATGTTGCTGGGAAATTAAAGGCACTATTTTCGAGAGGAGATTCTTTTACCCGTAGGAAACAAAATCTGGAGGTCAGGGAGCAAGAAAACACAAGGAATTGAGTTACTCATCTTCCTTTGAAAGTGTCATGCAACCACCCTCAGAGCGATTCAAAGCTTGATTGCTCGAAGGATAGAGGTGCCTAATTGATAGGAGTCGGTGTCCGAGACCCCGAATTGTAGACACTCGGACTCATCGGTGAAGAAAAGCCGAACACGTTTGTTCTACGCACAGTCGGCATCGGAATGCCGGAAAAGGATGCAGTTGAGTTTGACAATCGTTGCTCCCGGAAGGACCTCGTCAGAGCCGAGATACTCGAGAGTTACGCGCTGGTGTATATGCTGTACTATGTGGTTTTCTTGGCTAGGCCAGTTGAGAATCTCCTACCGCCAATACGGAATCAGTGGAAGCCTCTATAAGTCTTTTGATATCGAATTCCTATCCTCATTTCATGCTGATCGCCAACTTATCTTTGAATTTGCCTGCAAACCCTTTGATTCTCGCGTTGCTGATTGAAACAAAGCCATCGAACCATGGACACTCTATCATCGTATGCGGCCAAATCGCCGTCGATCGTATCGCCGTTCCTTACCTACTTCTCGAGAACCAATGGGAATAACTATGCCTTCGTTGCCTTGTTTGCGCTGCTGGCACTACTTGCCGTGTTCTTCGTGGCGCGTAGCTGGGGCCGGTTCCGCCCCAACGTACCCTTCGCTCTCGAGGACGAGTTCCCCAGTCGGAAAGAAAGGGTACAGCAATATGTGCGGAATTCTCGAGAAGTTCTAGCCAAAGGGTATTCCAAGGTAAGTAGTTGTCAATCAGTATCGAAATCGAGTTTCCATATTCTAACTAGAATTAGTTCAAAAACGAAATCTTTGCCATTGATACCCCACTAGGTTGATATTGCTTCCTATTCATCTCACGCCCAAATACTGTACGTTTCGGGTGCTAAAGGAAGTTTTAGGCTGCAACATTGTTCTTCCCATTCGATTCATGGATGAACTGAAAAGCAATCCCAACCTCAGCTTCAGCGCTGCCTTAAACGAGGTCCCAACACCCAAACTCTCCCCGATGATTTGAACTTGAGAAACTGACAAAACTTAGTTCACTCTTGAACGGTACACCAAAGTTGGTGCCCTGCCAGCCTGGTCAATCAAGCTGTTCTCGGCAAAGTTCAATCCAGCCTTGGGTGAGATAATTATTTCAGGCATTTCTATTCGATTATTCTAAGTCTTGTGTCAGTAGATTCCTACGCTGAGATATTCCAGAACATGGTTGGCGAACACATTGCGAACCTGTTACCTCCGGCTCACGAAAAAGGTACGCCTTCGCCAACGTTCTGATTGGTACAAATATTGCACACTTTCTTACTCGTCACTCATCACACAGACTGGGCCTCCATAAATGTGTGGTCATCCATCATTCCCCTCATAACGAAATCAAACGTTCGAGGCTTTCTCGGTTCCGATGCCGCCAAGGATGATGTCTTCCTTGATATTGCAGGCACATTCATCATCAACCAAATTGTCTACTCGATAGGTGCAAAGCAGTGGCCGTCGTTTCTCTTGCCAATCGTACACAAGTACCTCCCTGGTTTCCCAGGTCTCGCCGAACAGTACAGCAACGGCGCAAAGGTGGTCTTGAGGCAGATGAAAAACAAGAAGGCCAATGGTCTCAAACCTCTGTCCGATCCCCCAAGCGTCTTCGATTACGTCAATGACGACGGTCAGTATCTGGACGATTTGCAACTTCAAATGAATATCCAAATGCCTCTGTGTGCTGCAAGCATCCACACTACAACATCAACAGTCGTTCAATGTCTTTACGACCTGGCCAGTCGCCCAGAATATCTGCCAGCTCTCCGCCAGGAAATACAAGAGGTCACAAATGAGCATGGAGATATACTTACAAGACGCGTAGCTTCCAAATTGGAAAAGATGGACAGCTTCATTAAGGAAGTACAGCGTTTTTGCTCTCCTGACTTGAGTACGTCCCTGCCATGACTCCTTCCCCACACGTTAAGACTTAAGCTGATGCCATCATCACAGCGACGTTCCAGCGCAAAGCCACCGGCCCGGTCACTCTGTCTAATGGTTTTCACCTCCCAAAGGGTGCAAGAATTGAGGTTGCCACCGGTGCCATCAATGCTGATGCCGCGCTCTACAACAATCCCTCGGAGTTTGACGGCTTGCGATTCTACAAGAAGCGACAAACAGAGGAAGCCCGTTCAAAGTATCAAGTTTTGAGTGTAAGCAAAGAGGATTTAGTTTGGGGCTATGGGCGAGCCGCATGCCCCGGGAGGTTCCTCGCCGACATGCTGATCAAGATGATCCTCGTGGAAATCTTGAAGCGATACGATATCAAGATGCCCGACGGTCAAGGCAGGTATGAGAACATGGAGGTTCAAGGCCAGGTAAGATGACCCAAATCAATAGTAGAAAGACGCATGCGCCGTCAGCTGACATTTCCCACTTCAATAGACATTGCCAAATGAACAGGGCGAGATTTTGATACGGGAGAGGGATGTAAATGAATAAACTTCCGTAGCCGCCGTGGTTAAAGACAATCGCAAGGATCAACCCAGTAGGAGTACACTTCCCAGCAGCACTCCCGTAGCGGACGTCAACCTTAAATAGCAATCTTAATCGAACTTGGAGTCGCATGAGAGCTGTTCACGTCATCCGTCTGTGTCTTCCCATTTTTTGTTGCCCGTTCCAGTACCATATGTGACAGGTAAATTTTGGTGCTATCCACCTTGAACACATTGAATCTGAAGAAGTGACTTTTCTTATCTCGGGATACAGCAGGTGGCAAAGACTCGGCCAATGCACTGCTGCTTCAGGTTCCAGTGCAGCCCAAATACTGACAGGAAAGAAAGTTCACTGACGCGGATTGTCTAAAGATGCATGCTTCCACAGACTCGCGAACATTTGGATATCCCGCGGCACGTATACACCCAGCTATGCGTTCTATTTACACCTTTGCCATCTTCATTGCTTCCTTCAGGAACTCTCCAATGAGGCTGTTAATATTCTTGTCGCCGGGAGGCAACATTTGAGTGCCAAACGCGCCGGCCAAGCCCTTTTCCCTGTTGACGAACCATGCCATTCCGGGCATGGCGCCCCAGCTCAATGTATGTCGAGGCAGAAGAGGAGTTTCATCGAGGGTGACGAGCCCACCAATGCCAAACGACAGCTTTCCAAGCGTCTTCTCGCCTCCAGTCAGATTTTCATGCATGAACTAAGATGCAATCGATCAGCTTAGTGCTTTATGGAGGCTTCAATGCGAAGAGGCTGGGTGGTGAAGATATGCTTACCGGCATGTTCATCAAACCCGCAGCTTGAGGACCGGTCTTCGAGAACTGTGGTGTAAACATGGCATCCACGGAACTTCGCTTCAAGACTGTAGGATTGTCCTTCAAAAGGTCCGCCAGGACTTTGACGTGGTCTGCGACGCTGGTCACAATTCCGATTCCGCCTGCATCGGTCACGGCGTCTGCGGGATACCACGGAGCCGTCGGAACCAGCTTCCCCTCCGGGGTTCTCATTGCCGTATCCATCAGCTTTGCTTTGATCTCAGGCCGGGCATTCAGATGGAATGTCGTGTGTCGCATTCCCAGAGGATCAAAAATGTTCTTTTGCATATACTCTCCCAGCTTCATATGGTTCAATCGCTCAATGATGACGCCGGCCCAGTCCAGGCCGCCACCGTACGCCCAACTCTCGCCCGGCTCGAAGACCAGCGGAGTGGAGAATGCCTTTATGACATCTCCGCTGAAGGAGAGTGCGCTCTCGCCTCTGGACTGTCGCCACTTCATCAACAGAGGGGTTCTCCCATCGTACACGATTCCGCTTTGGTGGGTAAGAAGATGTCTGAGAGTAATTTTGTTCGCAGCCGGCGTAAGAACAAGACCACCATCTGCACCCTCGGACAGGATTTCGGGGTTCTTGAGCTCTGGCAGCAGCGAATCAACGTCATCGTCCAATGCAATCTGTCCTCGCTCAACAACTTGCAATGCAGCTACTGTGGTCAATAGCTTTGTCCACGAGAAAGCCCAGTATGTGGTATCCTCATCGGGGACTTCATCGCTGTCGAACTTGACGCGACCAGCGCCTTTGCTGTAGAGAGTCTCCCCTGGTGATTTTCACTGATTAGATCCACACACCGACGTAACATTCTAGCCATGGCATACCATTCTTGTCGACAACGGTCGCGAAAACACCGAACACGTCATCAGCATCCTTGGCGGTTCGGGCGGTGAGAATGTCGTCCAATGTCGAATCCATGATACGTATGTGATGTAATTATGTCCGAGCGGGAAGTTGCCTCTCAGAAGGATGTTTATGAGCATTCTTGTCATTGACCATATCCCTTTTTATCTGTTGGCTGGGCAGAAGAATGTCCACTCGCCACGACCATGGTGGCCGCGCACCCCGCAGACGGACTCAGCGGACAATTGTGTAAGTGACAACTCCGAACGTGCCCATGCCAAGTATGCCAACCGGCTCCTAACGGCTTCGGGCTCCGAACTACACACCTGCATGAAAGAGTTGGATGTTGAAGCGCTCGGCTATGGCGCCCCGAGACCCCTGAATGCAGATTGATAAGGAACCTGGGTTATCTCGGTTGGCCCCTGGTCGTGCTTAGTGATAGGCCTAGATCGATTGGCTCGACACCGAGATAAATCGTATTTTCTAGGTGCCTTCAGAATGAATCACCTTGCAACCTGCGTGTTTATGTTTACCAAGTAGATTTCAATCTTAACAAATTGCTTCGTGGAAATATTAAACAAAAGAAAATGTCCCCTCTGCAACATGAACCGGAGGAGATGGAAGACACCATCGTAATCGCCCAACAATCTGATCTCGGCTCAGGCGCATCTGCCCAGACCACCGCTGTGCGGTCTTGTTTACTCTGCCGTCAGTCCATTTTCGTTATTTGAGTCAAATTTTCCTCCAAGTAATCTAGCATAAATATTTCTGACACACTGAGCCAATCTAGGTCGGAGAAAGGTTAAATGTGACAAGAAGAAGCCTTGCGACGGCTGCTCCAAGGCCGGCGTGGAATGCGTCTATCCTATGGGCCGCGCAAGTCGACGACAAGGCACTCCCGATCCTGAGCTGACCAACAGATTGAAAAGGCTTGAAGACGTGGTCAGGAGGCTTGGGTCATTTATCGGAGAAGAAGGCATACAACAGGCCCTCCAAACCGCCCCTCCGCAGTCGCCCCACGGACCCCAGCAATCCGCTTCCGCTTCGGATAATAATCCCTCTGCCACTCCGCCGCCTATGTCTATGGAACAGGATCGATATGAGAAGCCTCAAAAGGTAGCGGCGAGTCCAGAGACAGGAAGACTGATAAGGGAGGAGGGGAAAAGCCGTTATATCAGCGGCTCATTTTGGGCGTCTTTGGGAGTTGAGGTAGGATGAACCTGGTTCAGCAACTGGCGGCAGCAACGCTATGAGATCAAGAGACTAACGAATCCCAGCTCGGCGGCAAACACGATACAGCTGAAGACCCAGGGTACGATGCTGATTTTGAATCTCTCGAGTCTCATGTCTTGGCCCACAACTTCGATTCCATCTTCGGGAACAGCACCGCGCAACCTGGGGATATTTGCACGTTGCACCCCACCTCTGGAGCATATCGTTGGAAGATGTGGTCTTTATACAAGCAAAATGTTCACCCGGTCGTCAGTTTGTTTCATCTCCCCTCCTTGGAGCAATGGTTCCACGAATCAACCGAAGTGGCATTTGGCATACCACGAAACATGGAACTCGCCATGTTCTGCATATACTACGGAGCTGTTACCAGTATAGACGACGAGGACTGTCAATCTTTGTTCGATATGGAACGCAGCCATCTCCTCGCAAGGTATAGGCTCGGTGTGGAGAAGTGTTTGGTCAGGGCTGGCTTCATGGATACAGATGATCGACTAGTCCTGGAGGCTCTCTGCGCTTTCCTGATTATCCTCCGCCGTCATGATGCGAGGTTATCTTGGAAATTATCCGGACTCGCTATCAGGCTGTCCCAGTCTGTAGGGATCCATCGTGATGGCTACACACTCCATCTTCCCTTTTTCGAGGCCGAGATGCGGCGGAGGCTCGCATGGCAACTGTGCAACATTGATGCACCGGCTCAGGAAGATTACGCTTGTGATCCATCCATGTAAGTTCCAAACATACTGGCCATCCGTTGTAACGAGGACAAAGGCTGAAACATTTGTGCACACACAGGCTCGAGATGAGCAGCTTCGATGCCGGCATGCCCATCAACGTGAATGATTGCGATCTTACTCCTGATTTGGTGGAGAGACCACCGGAGAGACATGGCTTCACTGACAGCACATTTCTTAGGGTGCACGTTGAGGTTACGCGTCTCTGGCGGTATGTATTCGACTCTCGACGGCCTCGAGACCGAGGCGAGAAATCAGTAGAATCCATGACGGATACCGAGAAGGATGAGTGGCTCGAGCAATGTCATCAAAGTCTCCACCAAGGTTATCTGAAGTGTCTGTCACTATCGGATCCATTGCAATGGGTGAAAACTTATTCTCTTTCTCTACCCTCCTGTCCCTTCACGCTATCGCGATGATCTGGCTCCAACATTGACTCTAACAAATACAGGTCTCTGCAATGTATGTGCGGTGCATGCATCTTGAACTGAAGCTCAATGTGTTCAAGCCATTGCAGAACCCAGCGAGATTCAATACCGCAAGGCGAAACGAGCTTTTTCTTTGCTCTCTCGAATGCATCGAAGCATCGTACCGACTTCAACATGACCGTCGCAGTGAAAAGTGGGCATGGTTTTTCAAGTCTTACAACCAGTGGCATGCCCTCGCCTTTGTACTTCACGAACTACGCGAACGGAGGGCCGGCAGCAGTGCCGGTAATGCTTGGCGCGCGGTAGAGCGGGTCATGGCATCTAGATGGGAAACGCCGTGCGAGAATTACCGAGGTGGGCATCAGTGGAACACTATCCTGCGCATGTGGGAGGCTGCCAGGGCGGAGAATCGCAAGGTCATGCGGTCTCCTCACCAAGACATCGAGACTTCTATAGGTGGCCTACGCCCTTCATCAGCGGCACTGACTGAGGCCAGTATGAGCCGAACACCTCTCAAGGCTCCTGCATTTACGACGGCATCTTCCGACCCAGCAAATGCAATGTCCCTATCAGGTGGCACAAGATGCAGTGGCGTCGACTTTCAAGAGTATGCTCCTTCTGAAGAGATGCCATCATTCCCGAAACAGGCCAGTTTCTCAATGATTGATATAGAAGAGTCCCCTGAAGACAGATATAGCACCGTGTTTAGTGATAAAACTCTGGTAATACCGGGAGTAGACGACTGGACGGAAGGTTTTGAAATAGACTTAGAGCTATAATTGGCCTGATGGGTATCTTGTCCTTGGTGCCTTTTTGTTCATGGCTAAAGTAATCGACTACCAGACAAATTCTCAGGCGCCTCACAGTCGTGTCATGTGTGCCACCAATATCGCGCCGCTTCGCTCTCGAACCATAGCCCACGACGCTGTGCAACTCATAACCGGTCGTGACAAAGAAATTTCCTGTGTTTCAACGCACGTTGTTGATGAAGCGGAGAAGAGAAGAGAAGAGCTGATCTCACCCGAGTAGGAAGGTGGCAGCAATGAATCTAGAAAATAGTAGTCTCGGACTCCTCGGCGTGGGGTCTCCGAGCTCGTTCGGACAGAAAGCGCGACAGCTGATTATCACAGCAACTGCCCCAGAGACGCCTTCGGACTTTTTCGGTCAATACCCGCGAACACTGCTTGCCACAAAACAATGCCAGAAATGCCGCAAGTTCGTTCAATATGATACTACCTCACCTACCTGAGAAGCCAGCATCTCACACGCAGAGATAAGCGACCCTGGGCGAGTGATATCGGAGCAAAGAATGAGGAGGACGCACGAGCGGACTGGACGAGATAAGACGTATCAAACGAATAGCCTCTTAAAGTAAAACAAGCCTAGCTAGATAAAAATAAAGAAAAAATAAGAAAGTGTTGTCCTTCCTCTTTTTTTGGGTTCTGCCCAGCACGCAAGGGAGATTTCGAATTCTATACCCTTTCTAGCCCGATCATTACTTGTAAAACTGTCCAATAATGGATTTACAAAATAAGCGCGAAATAATTCAAGAGCCTGCGGCAGAACACCCTCCCCACGACTCTGTTGAGGGCACCGGAATCGTGGATCCATCTTCCAGTCTAAGACAGCCGCAACAACTTCAGCAACGGTTTAATCTTTGGTCAGCTGTTGCCATGGGAGTATGCATTGCTGGGACTGTAAGTTGGCGAAAGCTACGAAAGAAATGGAAGAAGCGCCGAGTGCCGTTCGATTGGTGCTGACAAGCTTGCTTTCCCAGTGGGAGGGCATAGGATCAGTCATACTGCAGGGATTTAGTCTGGGAGGCGCTCCGACCGTCATCTGGGGCTATTTGCTCGCAGCAGTTGGCTTTACATGTGTTGCTGCGTCCTTGGCAGAGTTAGCGAGGTAAGATGTCCTGAAACAGGCAGTTGCACTGCCCTGCCGGCCTTAGGTTGTGGCTTCCTCTGAAACATTGGCTTACAGTCCGTTGTGAACAGTATCTGGCCGACGGCTGGGGCCCAGTATTATTGGACAGCAAGACTGTGTTCAGAGAAGTGGCGGCTGTTGGTGGTAAGTTGTTGCGGGCATACGCCGTCTACTATAGCTTACGAATGAATGTATAGTCATATTATGTCGTCTGGGCAAGCCTGTGTGGGCTTCTTCTTTCCGCAGTATCTGTGGCCGTTGGCGTCGTACAACAGATTCAAGCAGCAGTGATGCTGCAGAATCCCACATACGTGCCTCAACGTTGGCACTTGCCGTGTGTTAGTCATAAATTTGCTTCTTTTTGACGACCATTGCATTGCCAGCAATCTTCAGTACCACTGGGACTGACTTTACCGACAGATGTACTGGGCACTTCTAACCATTCATCTGCTGGTGAACATATTCGGAGTTAAGCTCTTCAGCTTGATAAACTTTGGAGGTATTCAGTATTGCCAGTCATCACATTCTTTCGAGTCATGCTGATAGGACGCAGCCGCATTCATACACTTATCATTTCTCTTCATCACCATGATTGTTCTTCTCGCCACTACTGAGAACAAGAACAGCGCTCAGAGCGTCTTCGTAGAGTTTCAGAACACTTCTGGGTGGCCAACCGACGGGATCGCTTTCTGGGTGGGCATCATTACGGCCTGCGCCGGATTCGGCGGCATCCATTCCGTTGTCATGTTCAGTCAGGAGACCAGAGACGCAGCAAACAACATCCCCAGAGCACGTAGGTGACAAATTTCCACGGTTTCAATGCCGGGACTAACATCTCACAGTCTTGTACTCGCTGATTATCAACGCACTGCTATGCCTTCCATGGGTGCTCGCATTGCTCTTCTGTACCGGCAGCTTGGATTTACTCCTGCAGTCTCCAGTGAGCTTTGTGAGCCCAATGGCGCAAATCTACCTGAACTCAACCCAAAACGTCTCAGTGGCAGTTTTCCTGCAGGTTATGACCTTCACAGTCGGCGCTGGTGCGAGCATGAACCTCGTCGGCTCAGCCGGACGTGCCATCCACTCGGCCGCCTTGGATGGCGCGCTGCCCCCGGTATTGTCCAAGATTCATCCAAGGTGGAATGTTCCGGTGCGGGCTCTATTGGTGGCATTTGTTGCCCTGTGTCTGATCTGTCTGATCTACATATGGAACACTACGGCCTTCTTCGCCTTTTTGTCAGCTTTTCTAATCCTACAGATGGTTTCGTATATCATTCCCATCGGGCTGTTGATGTACCGATCGATCGGCGGAGAGTTTGAACTGGGGCCCTGGCAAATAGGCCGGTTCCGTGTTATCGTTCACACCATGTCAGTGGTATGGTGCGCCCTCCTCATCATTTTCCCGTCATTTCCGACTACGCTGCCGGTGAAGGCGTCCAACATGAATTACTCGATCGTTATCGTTGCAGGCATCTTCGCTTTTGCGACTGTTCTTTACTTCGCTTACGCTCGGGGCCGTTTTACAGGGCTGAAGTTGGAAACCTTGGTTGGCGTCAGGGCTGGCGAGAAATGACCTTCGGGCAACGCAAGACAAGAGTGCCGGAAGGCACCGGTTGGAAAGCCGCCGATGTTATCAATGGTCTGGTCAATTATATCAATAACTCATCTCGGCTTGTTTATGCCAAGTTTCCTTCGCAATGATGATGATGATGTAAAGTCTGACATATTCGTACTAGCTGACTTGTTTCTTGGGTGTGATTAGTCACATGTAATTAAACCTTGGGATCAAGAAAGTTGGAAATCAATGATGTTCCTCTTCGGATGACTGGAGTTGACGTGCTTATAGATCTCAAGAGGTACAAGCTAAGAGCAGTTGACGCCAGCGACCTGTGAAAGAAAGTCCTAAGAAAGAGATCCTCGGATGAAACTAGCTGTTTATACGGGAAATACTAACGATACTATTTGCATCCTAGCTTATACATGACGCGAGACCAACTAATCTAAGGAACAGCAACATATCTAAGCGGTCACTGTGAACTCTAGAGTAGTCTACCAGTAAACTCCTTCCTTCGGCAACAGTGGGATCGCCAATTCTTCCAGTGTTCCCTCTTTTCCGCTGATAACATCTTCTTTGACCTTGTCGTACCATTCATCCACTACAGCCTGGGCATCGAAGTCTCTAACCCGCGGAAACCGCTTCATAGCCCACTCCTTTGGGTTGGCCTGAATGGTGTCCCAATCAACCTTGTGGAACGCATCTCTGTGAACAATAGCGTTCGCGTGGAACTTGTTGGCGCGGTGGTACCTCAGTCTCTGGGCAACTTCGAGGGCCAACTTGACGTCGCCATCGGACTTCCCGAGACACGCGGCAACCGTCACGGCGTCCTCGATTGCCTGTGAGCCACCCTGGCCGGAGGTGGGAAGATGAGCATGGGCCGCGTCGCCAATGAGGATGATTCGGCCGCCTTTGGACGTCCATTTCTTGATGTGCGGCCGGTAAACCAGCTTGAAGTCAATCAAGCATTCAGGTGGGGTGCACTCCAGCAAGGCTTTGCACTCGGGGGCAAACACCGAAATGAAGGGGTCGACTGCAGATTTGGGCACGCTGTGAGACCAAGATTCCTCGACGTCGTTGTTGTCTGGGTGCATCATGACCCAGGCGACCTCCTTTCCGCCGTTCCAAGAATAAGCCAGGATGCTGAGGTTGTCGTAGGCCCAGGCTTTGATGACGTCCTCACCGTTGCGGAAGAAGTTCTTGAGATCGGGATGGGCCAGTGCCTTCTCGCTCGCGGTGAAGTAGGACCTGAAGATGGCCCATCCGCTTTTCTCCTCTTCGTTCCCGAGGCCAAGAACAGCCTTGCGCGCGAAAGATCGACTGCCATCGGCAGCAATGACGCAGTCGGCCCAGATCGTCTTCCCGTCCTCGAACGTGACGCCCGCCTGGTTATGCTCCTCGGACTCCTTGTAATCGACAATCGACTTTCCCAGTTCAATCTGGACACCCAGACGACGTGCATACGCCATAAAGATGCCATGCTGCTTGCCCCGATGAGCCGCGAAAGTTTTGGTTCGATCTTCGTCTTTCATGAACCAGGGAACAGGGTAGAGAAGCGTGCCGTCATATTTGTACATTTCAAGCACGTCGGATTCGCACCCGATGGACAGGATTTCCCGGCCAACTTTCCCATCATCCCATCTGGAGATGACTAGGCCGCCGTTGACGAAGAAGTCAATGATATCTGACACCCGTCAGGTCAGTCCCACCACGCAGAAGTAAAGGGGCATTGCATGTGAACCAAATTAAAAGAAAGATGCTTGGAGATTTGATTACCTCCACGAGTGTTTGAGTCGACGTATCTCTCTATGAGAGTAACTTTCATGCCACGCAGCCGACACTCGATTGCCGCAGACAGGCCTCCGAATCCGGCACCGACAACTATGACTTCGAGGGGTGCCATGGCGTATTTAAATATATTTGGGTGGGTGTGAAGACTTGATTGGGAGTTTGAATAATGCAATCGGAGTAAGACGAATGAAGGCAATGAATTGACGGACGCGGCTTCTATGCTCCTCTAAGGAGACGATTTAATGATACATCTAAAAGTGTATGTGCAACCATTAATTGAGTTGGAAACACGCCATAGACCGAATTCCGAAAGTTACGAGCTTGAAATGCCCTCCACGAAAGCTCAGCCGGCAAATTCAATACTCGCGTCCGAACGTCCGCAGTGCCGAGCTTCTTCGCAACATCTCATCCCATGTCCGGAGCCACTTACCGAGAGCGCCGAAAACTGAACCTCGCGATTACAAAGGGCTTTTCTTGGGGGGGGGGAAACAAATCCCCCCCCGAGGATTCAATAGTCTATTGTCACGGGATACAGAAATTTGTTCCGCTTGTATGCGAGCTTTGTTGACTTCACTACCAACATTCACCATGGCCTCCAAGTTTGAAACACTGCAAATACACGCCGGCCAGGACACCGACCCGGTCACCAAATCAAGAGCCGTACCTATCTACCAAACCGCGTACTTCAATTTTGACGACTCGGCACATGCGGCACGATGCTACGGCCTGGAGGAAGACGGACACATCGGCACCCGAACATCGAATTCAACCACTGACGTATTGGAAAAGCGCATGGCGGCGCTGGAGGGCGGACTCGCCGCGGTTGCCGTTGCCTCTGGCCAGTCAGCTGTGTTCATGACCATGCTGTGTCTGGCCGGACGAGGCGAGAGCATCATATCGACTGCTAACATGTACCACGGCGCATACAATCAGTTCAGCTTCCTGCTGCCGGACCTGGGCATTTCGGTGGATATCGTCCAAGAAACCCCGGAATCCATCGAGGCGGCGATAAACGAGACTACGAGGGCCATCTATCTCGAGAGCATGGGACATCCGCGTATGAATGTACCAGATATCGAGGCCATTGCCCAGGTAGCCCACCGGCATGGCATACCTCTGGTGGTCGATAACACTGCCGGGGCCGGAGGCTACTGGTGCCAGCCGATTCTCCACGGCGCAGACATCGTGACGCATAGCGCGAGCAAATGGATTTGCGGCCACGGGACCTCCGTCGGCGGCGTCGTTGTTGACTCGGGCAGATTCGACTGGCGCAGTCCGAGATTTACGAAGCTCAACCAGCCCAACCCAGGCTTCCACAACATCAACTTCCACGAGTCCTTTGGGAAGCTCGCTTTCGTGAACCGGTTCAGGCACCAGATTCTCCGCGATTCTGGGGCCTGTCTGTCGCCCTACAATAGTAGAGACCTTCTCATCGGGTTGGAAACGCTCAGCTTGCGGTGTGAGAGACACACACGAAACGCGACAGAACTCGCGGTGTGGCTGCGTCGCCATCCTGGCATCTCTTGGGTCGACTACCCAGGGCTGGAAGACCATCCGAAGTATCTTGCCGCTACGAAGTATTTCCCCCGCGGCGCTGGGGCTGTCATTCTCTTCGGTGTGAGAGGTGGTGCCGTTGTTGGAGAATCACTCGTGGACGGCTTCAAGCTCATCACCCACATGGCCTCGTAAGTCCCACCCACGGAGTGCTTGATGGCTCCCATTGTCATCTACGTTTCTCGTTTCATCCATCTCACAAAGAATTTGGAATAGATTCGGCGACGCCAAAAGTGCGGCGACTCATCCTTGGTCATCTACACACAAGCCGATGTATCCAAAGGAGAAGATCGATCTAGGTGTCACTGAAGACATGGTACGGATGTCAGTTGGTTTGGAGCATATCGAAGACATCAAACAGGACATACAGCAGAGCCTCGATGCGTGTTCAACAGTTCCGAAAGAAGTAGCCTAGTATTTCTTAATAAATTACATGTAGTTTATCTCGCACATCTCTAAGCGTTTCCGCCATCCAGCGATGTATTCAGAGTGCGCAATAAACTTCAATAGTGTTCTCCAAAACCAAAAGGGACTTTCGCGTTTCGTATCACTGAGAAACGTGTGCTAGACAATGTAGTAGTCATTGAGCTACAACAAAGTCAAGCCTGGCTACCCTGAAAAACTGGTGCAATAGGGGTATTCCGTAAGGCTCCTGTGAAGAAAATTTGCTTTGCGCCGACGGATATTTCAGCCGCACTCAAGTCTATCTTCTCCCACATAGAGGAACTCATTATCTTCAGATGCCTGGCTGGGTGAAAGGTCAATGTGCGAATCAACGGCGGTTTCGATGCCGATTTCCCGCACAACGGCCTCGGCCTTCCGCACTCCGAACGTTGACTCCGATATCTGAGCTTAACCTTGCTATCTTAAACTAAATTCGGTTGCACCGGTGTTCGTTCTAGAGTAGAAGTCGATTCGCAATTATGAATACCGAGTCTGGAGCATATGCCTGGGCCGTCCTTTGCGTCTCCAGGAAACCTCTCTTACTTCTTGTTTACGTTGTATATCTGTATATGTCAGTGAAAAATAACTTGCTTCCACTCGATTTCCTCAAAAACACATCAAGTCAACATGTCTCCTCCCGACCATCCACAGATAGCCTCAATGCAGGGCAAAACAGCCGTCATATCAGGCTCCTCAGCCGGCATCGGCGCCGCCATCGCCATCGAACTCTCCGCCCGCGGCGCAAACATCGTCTTGAACTACCCGTTCCCACACCTGCAGATTGAGTGCGAGCAGATCGGCGCCAAGCTTCACACGCCATGGATAGCCGTCTGCGCCGACCTGTCGACCGTCTCGGGCCCCGCGGCCCTGGTCTCCGCGGCCGTGGCGCGGTTCAAGCAGATCGACATTCTAGTCAGCAACGCCGGCATGGTGCCTCTCGGGCCTCTCGGAGAAGCCGACGCAGATACTTGGGACCGGGCGCTCAATCTTAATTCCAGGGGCGCGTTTCTCTTGGTTAAAGCAGCGTTACCGCATCTAACGCCTTTTGAGCCGCACGCGAGGTTTCCAGAGTCGACAACAGCGGCCACCGGAGGCGGATCGCGAATCATCATTGTGGCCTCCGTCGCGTCGCGGATGCCGGAGGTGAATCAGAGCATATACGCGGCGAGCAAGGGGACGCTTGACGCCATGATTAGGGTGTGGGCGAAGGAGCTGCCTCCTGTGTACGG